TTCCCTTTTCTCCACATCCCTGCCAACACTTATTTCTTGTCTTTTTCATACCAGCCATTCTAACAGGTATGAGGTGATAATTTCCCACTTTTCTTCATGTAACAGATTTCTACTTTCATACCACTGTGGTCAGAAAAAACACCGGATATGATTTCAACCTTCTTAAATTTATTAAGACTTGTTTGTGGACTAACATATGACCTATATTGGAGAATGTTTCATATGCACTTGAGAAAAATGTGTATTCTGGTACTACTAGATGGAGTGTTTTTAAATGTCCCTTAAGTCCACCTGGCCTAGCAGGTAATTTAAGGCCAATGTTTCCTTATTGATTTTCTGCCTAGGTGATCTACTTGTTGTTTAAAGCGGGATATTGAAGCCCCCTACTATTGTTGCACTGCTTTCTATTTCTCTCTTCAAATCTGTTAATATTGACTTTACGTCATTTAGGCACTATGATGTTGAGTGTATGAATATTTACAAAGTTATGTCTTCTTATTGGACTATCCCCATTATCGTTATGTAATAAACCTTCTTTGTCTCTTGTTACAGTCTGTGGCTTAAAGTCTATTCTGTGTGATAGCAGTATAGCTATCCCTGCTTCCTTTTGGTTTCCATTCACATGTACTATATCTTTTCATCCCCTCACTTTCAGAGTGTGTGTTCTCTTAAAGTGGTCTTGTGTTTTTACCCATTCAGCCACTCAACATGTTTTCATTAAAGAATTTAGTCCGGGGGCGCCTGGGTGGCTCAGTCATTAAGCGTCTGCCTTCGGCTCAGGTCACGATCCCAGGGTCCTGGGATCGAGCCCTGCATCGGGCTCCCTGCTCAGCAGGAAGCCTACTTCTCCCTCTCCCACTCCCCCTGCTTGTGTTCCCTCTCTCGCTGTGTCTCTCTCTGTCAAATAAATAAATAAAAGAATTTAGTCCATTTCTATATAGTTATTGATAGGTATAGACCTAATACTGTCATTTAGTTCATTGTTTTCTGGCTGTTTTGTATTCTATTTGTTCCTTTGTTCTTCTCTTGCTCTCTTTGTGATTTGAATTTCTGTAGTAGTATGCTTAGATTCCTATTAATCTTTTCTATATATACTGATTTTTTGCTTTTGGTTATTACCAGGAGGCTTACATAAGACATTGATCCCAGCAGGGTTCAGTGCAGAGGAAACAATCAGAAACACCCATGTCCCAATATTCTCCTGTAGGAAATCTATTTCCCTGAAAGAAGCCTGAGGTCAGGTTTCTAATTTAGCAGACATCCAGGGGCTGACAGCAACCCTCCCAGGAGACCAGGGAAGTCTGCAGATACCACCTCCACCTTTTCTCTCTAGCCTAATCCAAATCTCCAGTATCTCCACACAATCAGCTTATACGCACATCTGATGCCCCAGCTTTTACAAATGCCACCCAAAGGAAGGGTCCTGGATCACCTGTCTCTGAAAGCCAATGGGGCTTGCATTCATAATTTGCACAGGACTGTAGCAATGAAGTAGTTCTTAAAAATGGTAAAATAGCAACCTCTTCAGTGGCTATATACCTGGGTCCAGTGCAGAGGGAGCAGGCAAAAACGTCCATCTCCAAGTCTCTCCCTGGAAGGCCCCTAACTATATACTTTCCCAGTTACTGCATGGGGGATCCAGCTTCCAATCAACCTACATCTAGGTGCTGTGAGCCTCCCCTTTGGAACACTTGACAAATCTTGGCACACCCTCAACTACTGGGAGCCACTAAGAATAAAGGCAGTTTGGGCAATCACAAAAATTTGAGAGATAACCAACCACTCAGGCCAGGCTGTTAATAAGGTTCATCTCCTACAGAATACCATTCCATCAAGACTGGGAAAGGAGCTTTTTTATCTAATGCATAGAAACCAACAAAAAGAGTCAAGAAAAATGAAGAAACAAAAGAACATGTTCCAAACAAAAGAGCAAGATAAAACTTCAGAAACAGACCTTAATGAAACAAAGATACTTGATAAAGAGTTCAAAATAACAGTCATAAAGATGCTCACCAAGGTGAGCAGAACAATGCATGAACAAAGTGAGAATTTCAATAAAGAGACAGAAGATATAGGAAAGCACCAAAAAAATCAAAGAGGGAAAGAACACAAACCGAACTGAAAAATTCAATAGAGAGGTTCAACAGACTAGATTAAGTAGAAGAAAGTATCAGCAAATTCAAAGACTGGGCAATAGAAGTCATCCAAAGAAGCAGAAAGAAAAAAGAATAAATATGAAGATACCTTAAGGGACTTTTAGGAGACCATCAAGTAGACCACCACTCACATGATAAGGGTCCCAGAGAAAGAGGATAAAGCGAAAGGGACTGAAAGTTTACTGAAAGAAAATGTCCCAAAACTGCCCTAACCTAGGGAAAGAATTAGACATCCAGATATAACCCATAAACTTTCAAATAAGATGAATCCCCAAAAAACCCATATCAAGACACACTATAACTCAAATATCAAAAGTTAAAGACAAAAAAGAGTATCTTAAAAGCAACAGGAGAAATAGAACTTGTTTCACACAACTGAATCCCTGTAAGACCATCAGTATATTTTTCAGCAGGAATTTTGGAGGCCAGAAGGGGGGTGGCAAAATATATTCAAAGTGCCAAGGTGGGAGGGTGGCAACTGCCAACCAAGAATACTCTACCCAGCAAAGCTGTCTGAACGGAAAGAGAAATAAAGAATTTGAGACAAGGAAAAGCTGAAGGAGTTAATCACTACTAGATCAGCCTTATAAGAATTGTTAAGAGGACTTCCCCAAGCTGAAACAAAAGCATGCTAATTACTAACAAGAAAACATGAAAGTATAAATCTTACTCATAAAAAGGTAAATATATGGTTAAATTCAGAATACTCTAATTTTGTAATACTGGTGGGTAAATCACTTACAAATCTAGTATGAAGGTTAAAAAATTATAGTAAAAATAACTATAATGTATTAATGGAGAAACAAGGTGAAAAGATGTAAACTGTGACATCAGAAACATTAAATGTAGGAGGGAGAGTAAAAACTATAAAGCTTAAGATGCAAAGTTGTTATTAGCTTAAAATACTGTTACAAATGTAAGATCTTCTTTATAATAACCTTAAATGGGATTTTTACCTTGATACTGCTGTGTGTCTCATGTTTATGGATAATTAGTTTTCCTGAATTTTTAGAAGAAGGTGTTGTTCAAGGTAGTTTTTCCAACTTTACAGAATTCACTCTTCTGTTGTTTTCATGTAATGTTAAACAATATGGTAGTTTCCTTTCTGAGAACTCCCAGCTGTTATCTGAACCTTCGCTTTTCTTCCTCTTTTGATCCTCTAATTTTCCCTGTTCTGCTCAATTTTGATGTTACTATGGTATTCAATTTTGTTTCCCTTCAGTGCAGTACCCTGTGCTGGTAGAGATTTCTAGCAGCTTCATTTCAAGAATTCTTTGGAGCCAAATTGTTCTATCCTGTCTTTACAATGAACACACTGTACTTGGCTGATACTGGAGTGGGCAAACCGCCGCCCCCCCGCCCCCCCGCCCCCCCTCCACCTCATTTCAGCTGCTGCTCTTAATATAGTCCACCACATTGTCTAGTAAATAGTTGAGGCTATTTTGGAGGTCTCCTGTTTTTAAGTTCTATGAAACGCCCCACTCAACTCTCTCTGCTTACCCTTGCACAAACAGTAATACTAGGGAGGTCTTATAGCTGTTAGTGGTCTGCTCTTATCTGCTTTTATTTCTGGATGCCTGAGGTTAGTTTTATGGTATGTTTTTGGATTTGCTATCTAGTTTCATTAGTTTTTGTGTGAGTATTCCAAGGAAGTAAAAAAAACAATGGTATGGCCAGATTTACTTCCTACCATCCCTCTTAAAGCCAAATTTGAAGTTCAAATAAAGCAATTATGTTTTATATTCATCATATATTTATTACTTCTCTTGACTTATTTCTACTTATTTTTAAACCTTCTTGTTGTCTTTTCATTCTTTTTTAAAACAAGGCAAAAAAAATACTCCAACTCCATAATTACAAAAACTTTATTTTAATAAATGCTTTAACTCATAATTTTCAATACTTCTAAATGCTTCCTGATTCACAGTTCAGATAATTCACAAATGTTTACACTTGGAAAAAATTCCTTCAACTACCTAAGACTCTAATTCTGCTGAGACCTTAAGAATGAGACCACCAGAAACCAAAATAATCAAACACAAGAACATATATAGATAGTGCCCTTAAAATTCTCAACATGATCTGACTAGAAATTCCATGTTTATGTATTATAACTTTGTCTTCCTTGAATGTTGGCGTGTAGCATGCATTCAGATTTTTTCCTAGTCCTGAGGTCAGCAAACTATGGCCCACTGACTTTTCATATGTTTTGTAAATAAAGTTTTACTAAAACACAGCTCTGCCCCTTCCCTTATGTACTATCTGCAGCTGCTTTCACACCTCAACAGCAGAGGTTAAGTAGTTGCAACAGAGATCTTATGACCCACAAAGCCTAAAATATTTACTATCTGGCCCTCTCCTAGTCTAGAGATGTATCAAATGAGCTTCCCTGAGCAGCACCTGGGGGCTCTATGGATAATTCTGAGTATAATGAATGTTGTGCTAGGTGTCCAGCACACTGCAGGATGTTTAGCATCTCTGGCCCCCCATAAACTAAAGCTAAAATGTCAGCAGCACTCCCACGCCTCATTAACCAAAATTTCCCACACTCTGGGAGAGAGCAGAAATACAATCCCTGTTTAAGAATCACTAAAGAACTAAAGTAGCTCAGAGTAAAGAAAAAGAAAATACAGTCTGTAAATTCTAAATCCTACCAAGATAGATGAAAATGTAGTTACCTTCTTTTAAGAGCAAACTAAAAGTCTACTCTTCTTCCTCTTTGACATTCAGCCAAAAATACATTAATTTCTTCTTAATAAAGTTAGGCTTTATAATTTGATTATGATATCAAAACACCATGATGTTTACTTAAAATTTAAAATTAAATTTATGAGGCCAGCTTACCTATTTGTTCCATCCAGATTTGATTTGTGGATGAAATTGAGTTTTGCATCTGCCCAATAAAGCTTCTGTTCCTCATAATCCAAAGTCAGTCCATTTGGCCAGTAAATTTCAGTGTTTATTATAATGAAGCGACTTGAACCATCCATTCCAGCACGTTCTATCTTTGGTACTTCTCCCCAGTCTGTCCAATACATGAACCTAAAAACCATATAAACAAATAAACCCATGATATAAGCAGGTTAACAGCCAAGTATTTTATAATTATCACGATTAGACAAGGAATGCTCTCTCAGGAACACTAAAACTGAAACCCTTAGAAATTATCAAAATTTTAATAATCTACCTTTTTGTCACCACCACGGTAATAACTGATTTAGGCAAGCATCATCCAGCAAGCAAAAAACTATGTGATCAAAGTTTACTGAGAAAAAGGGTATTTACACTGTCTCAATGTATCTCCCCACAGATTATTTATTAAGGACAAAAGGGAAAATGGTATAAGCACATCATCTAAGTTAACATCATCAATGAGAGAGGGACCAAACTGGTATCATGTATGTGGTGCACTGGGCAAGAACAAACCATCTTTCATGCAGATTCTCTTATATAGTATTCCTGCCAAAAAATGTATAACCTGAACAAAATTATGAGGAAAGGGAGAAAACCAAATTGAGGAACCTTCTAGAAAACAACTGGTCTTTGAAAATATCAGTGTCACAAAAGTCAAAGGATGGCTGAGAAACAATCTAGATTAGAGAGGAATAAAGAGACATGGCAACTATAAAGTGCATGATTCTGGACTGATCAGTTGAGGGAAATGCTATGAAGACATTAGTGGGAAACCTGGCAAATCTGAGGGACTGTCAAATTATATAACAGCTGTGTACTGATGTTAATTTCCTAAATATGATCACAAGTTAGGGTATATAGGATTTCATAGTACCATTTTTGCTTCTATTCTACAAGTTTAAAATTTTTTTCAAAGTAAAAAAAATGGAAGTCTATTATTAATAGTCTCATACCAGAGGTAAAAACAAAATTTTCCTTGTTAAAGGTAAAACTCTTAGTATGTTATATTTCATGGAGTAGGTTCCATGAAATATAACTCAGATCAAAACCTGAGCTGAGATCAAGAGTCGGATGTTTAACCAACTGAGCCAACCAGGTGCCCTAAAGACATTTTTAAAAGGTAATGAGGGTGCTATGAACTAGATATGATGTACTCGGTAAATGTGTTCACACACATTTGGAATTCAAGTAGAAATTTTACTCAAAAAATTGGGTGAAATGGTAATACTAAAATTATTCCACTTGTACAAATATATATTTCATATAAACTGCTTACTCAGTGAAATTATGGGAAGAGAATAGCAGGTAGGAAATAACATACTTCCTAGACATGAGGCATTGTGCTAATGGTTTTACATGTATTATCTCACTTAGGCAGTGTCATGAAATATTATTTGTCCATCACTGTATTTCAGATGAAACAGCTCAGTATATTGCTCAAAGTCACAGAGCTAGTAAGTGCAGAAATTCAAACCTACATCCCCAGATTCCAAAGTCAATTCTTATGCGACAGGTCAGAGCCCTGATCTATAAGGAAGAGAAGGCAAAGTGTTCCCTAAAATGAGGATAATGACTGGATACTGTCCAGAATGAGGAGCAGGGGAATGGTTAGATTTATGCAAGATAAAACTATATAAAAAAGCAAGCCAGACAATTTTAGACCATGTTAAAATTTTGGGTTTTTATTCCGAGAGCAACATAAAGACACTTGAAGACTTTTAAGACTGGAGGTGAAATGACTGGCTTTGTGAAGTTTGGGGGAGTAGGGCAGCTGAGGAAGAAGAAACTGGCTACAGTGTAGAAAAAGACTAGAGGAAAACTAAAAAGAATATACAGAGGCTCTCCTCTAAACCAAAGTAAAAATAGGAAAAGATGGTCAAAAAGAATTAAAGTCTCTGAAACATGATCAAAGGATAAACAACAAAATGAGAAGCATTTACTAAAGAAAATGAACTCTCAGGAGGAAATGTGATAATTCAGCCATAAGGTACTCGCACCACCATCCACGCTGCTAGGTTTATGGCACAAAAGCCCTACCACGAGCAGACATGGCAGACCCTAAAGACTGGCAGCTACATGGCCCTGCAAGAGGATGCTGACTTTATTTGAAGTAATGGAAAAATCTATACGCCCAGGAATGTTGTCAAAAATAAGAGTGCTCTCGGGGCGCCTGGGTGGCTCAGTTGGTTAAGCTGCTGCTTTCGGCTCAGGTCATGATCCCAGGGTCCTGGGATCGAGCCCCACGTCGGGCTCCCTGCTCAGCAGGGAGCCAGCCTGCTTCTCCCTCTCCCTCTGCCTGCCTCCCTGCTTACTTATGCTATTTCTCTGTCAAATAAATAAATAAAATCTTTAAAAGATAAATAAAAAAAATAAGTGCTCTCCATGGCAAACAATTAGGGAGGGCTATTATCCCAAGCAATACTGGTCCAAAAAGTGTAAATGTAATGTAGGTAAATTTTAATTTTTTTAACAAATACAAGACTTTACACTAGATACTTCACAAAAGAAGATACATGAATAGCCAAATGGCACATAAAAAGATGTTCAATTTCATCAATCATCAAGGAAATTGGAACTATAGTAACAAAAAATAAAATATAAAATAAATAAAACCACAATAACATACCAACTCCACACTCACTAGAAAGGCTGACATTTAAAAGACTAAAAATACTAAGTGTTGGTGACGAGCAACTGGAACTCTCGTACACCACTAGTTTAATCACTTTGGAAAACAGTTTGGCAGTTTCTTATAAAGTTAAATGTACATTTAACTCTATGAAACAGCAATTTCACTTTTAGGTATTTATCCAAGAGAAATAAAAACATATCCACTCAACAACTACACATGCAAATTCACAGAAACTTTATTCATAACAGCTAAAAATTAGAAACAACACAAATATCCATTAATAGGATGATATACAAACTCTGGTATATTTATACAATGGAATACTACTTAGAAATACAAAAAAAAGTAACTATTCTTACATTCAACAAGGATGAATTTTTAAAATTAAGCTGAACAAAAGAAGCCAGACTCAAAAGAGTAGCTACTTCATGACTCTATTATATGAAGTTCTAGATTCAGCAAAACTAATCTATAGTGATAGAAATCAGATCAGTAGTTACTAGGGCAGAAACAGAGTTTGACTTGAAAGGGACTAGGACAGCTTCCTGGAGTGAAGTGATGGAAAATTTGGTGGGGGGGAGTAATGGTAGACAAATACATTTATCAAAACATCAAACTATAAATATAAAAATATGCATATTTCTGCATATAAATTATATCTCAATAAAGTTGCCTAAAACATAAATAAGAAACAAGAGATGATTTTTAAAAGCTAATCCAAAAGTACCTTCTTTTAAAAGCTAATTCAAAAGTTCCTAGCTTGCCCAGAGTTACTCCTTCCTACGTGCTCCTAGAGCATGTTTCACTGTGCTATAGTACTTATCACACTTTGTATATAAATTATGAAGAACTCATATGCACTGAACATCAGCAGTTTGCACACTATCAAGATGGATACAGCAGGGGCGTCTGAGTGGCTCAGTCGGTTAAGCGACTGCCTTCGGCTCAGGTCATGATCCTGGAGTCCCTGGATCGAGTCCCGCATCGGGCTCCCTGCTCGGCGGGGAGTCTGCTTCTCCCTCTGACCCTCCCCCCTCTCATGTGCTCTCTCTCTCTCTCTCATTCTGTCTCAAATAAATAAATAAAATCTTTAAAAAAAAAAAAAAAGATGGATACAGCAATAAGTGGTGTTGTCTATTCTGTATAATATAATTTAGATAGGTTTCACAATTGTCATTAACCTAAGTAAGCATTAAACTTATAAATAAGAATCCAGTGTCTAGTTTATGGTGAAATAAAAAGTTAACAAAATTATTTAGCTCAACAAGAATTTTAGTACTAAAATTATTTACATGCTGCTGCTTATCAAAGCTAATAGATAACCCTCACATTACTTAACAGTAAAAAAATATATCAGGTCATGTTACTTCAAGGATGAAGGCTTCAAATACAAAGAGGGAAACTGAGACATCTGTTAAGATGAGAATCTGATTAAAGTTTAGAATTTTTAAGTGAATTTTGCAGATATTTTCATTTGTTCAAATATTTAAAATGCAAAATAAATTTTATCTATAGTACTAAAATTTCCATGTTATTTGATTAACATTTAAATTAAAAACTCATTACAAATTTAATATAGAAAGGGAATGAGGCACAGGAAGTAGAAAAACACAGAAGTGTTTTATAAATTGCCAAGATATTATTCAATTTTTTAAAATGTACTAAGTACCTATTAGGAGCTAAGCATCATCCTTGACATAATACAAAAATAAGCAAGGCAAAACAATTGCCCCTATGAAAATTGCATCCCAAGTAAGGAGTGATAAATGTAGCATGAGATGTATGAACAGGGTGCTATGAGAGTACAAGGAAGTGATACCCAATCAAGCTAGTAAATGTTAAGAGTTGTCAGTAAAAGCTTACCAGAAGAACAATACTTTTATTTAGGCAGTTGCCAAAATGAGAAACAGCATTCCAGGAAGAAGACATAGCATATGCAAAAGACCTCAGAAGTCACGACACTTCAAGAACCAGCAAGAACATCAACAGAGCGGCAGCATATGGTGTATTTGCCATGGGGGACACCAGGCAAAAAGAGAAGTCCCACAGAAGGGACCTATTCTGCTATACAAAGAATTTGAACTGTATAATCTATAGGTGGTGAGAAGGTACTTAAGACTGTAAGCAGAAAAGTAAAATGGTTAAGATTATCCTTTTAGTCACTGGTGATAACACTGAGGGACTGGCTAGAGGGGGAAGAAATTAGAGAAAGAAAATTAAAGCACAAAACTTCTGAAATATTCCAAGTGAGAACTAATGAAGACAAAAGTTGAAAGATGGATCAGTGTGGGAGAAGAAAGATAAACGAGAGAGAGTAGGATGGCTCTCAAGAGTTGGCAAATGTGAATGGGTCCATGTTGGGGTGTCATTCAACAAAATATGAAATACAGACAGTTTAGGGGGCAACATGATGACTTCAGATAAGAATGAAATGAGTATCTTCACCTCAAAGAACCAGTCGATCGAGTAAAAGAAAAACTAGTGTAAAAACTAAAGG